TATAACTTTTTAGGGGACATAATAGAAGACCCCCTTGTAACTTATGAGCGATAAGACAGAATAGAAGACCCCGGGTCTTCTAATGTGTCGGGGGCTTTAGTAAAAATTGCTCAGGTGTAGGAAAAACAAGTTTACTTCCGTTTTTATTTAATAATAAACGAAGAGAATCTTTATTTACAGAGACAACTGATAGAAAGTTTCGTAACTCATGTGTCGATGTTATGTTTGGCACAATATCACAACAATCATATACGATAGTAGATGCGCATGGGACAATTCACGAGACAACTAATTTAACATTAGTTAAAGCTATTCAAGTGTATGCATCTCTGCAAATTATTTTCGTAACAGAAACTGATTTACCCAAAAGCGATAATGATACTAATGATTTTATCTATACTGCTATGAATTATTCATATGAAATAGCTAGCAAACCAACAATTATTGCTATTTTTGATCGAAATTTTGATGATGAACGTGAAACAGAAAGTTTGAAAGATCGATTTCAAAACTTCTATTCCAATCAAAGTTGGCCCAATGTTTATTGGATGACAATTCCATTATACGAAGGAGCACAAAATCTGGACAGATTTACTATGGACTATCGTGCTGAACGTTTAAAACCAGTGTTTGCTGAAAAATTAAAGACTGCAGAGCCGCATATTCAACAGCAACTACCATATCGTTCATTTTTCTCTATTCAGTCGACATATTTATTAAATCGATTTGACGCAAGCAAGCCGATACGAAGACATCATGTTCAATTTGAGATAGAAAGTAAGCTCAAAGCACTATTTCAAAAATTAACAGATAAAACGGAAAATCTCAAAATTGTAACACCAATCAGCTATTACAAATCTCAAATGGATATGAATCGAAAACAGTTATCACTTGAAACAATAGATGAAAATTTATCATCAAATAAACTATCTTCAACATTAGAGCAACTCAAATTGCAATGGAAGTCAGTGGCAGCGGTTAATGAGTATACAAAGTTCACGATTAATTTAATCAATAATCGAACGTATACTGAACTATTGATTACTGAGATTTATTTGGAACGATGGCGTTCATCATACGTACCAAAATTGAAAGAAGACTTAGAAAGAATAAAACAAGCTATATGTGAATGTGAGTGAAAGCTATCAAAAAGCGAAGAATTACTGGGAAAGACGAAGAAACAAAATGAAAATATTAATCAAATTGAAACTGAAGTGAAAGAATTACGTGAGAGAAGAAAACAATTAAAACAAAATCTGCGTGATGTTAAAACTTAATTAGCAAATGTTGATTTAACTGTTGGTCTATTGCGGGATGAATTATTTGCCGCATACGACTATTTATGTGATGAACAGCCTCAAACACTTGAACAATACAAACCTGACTTTTCCAAGCTAATTAAAAATCTTTCACAATTAATTTACAAAGGTTTTGCTATACATATATTAAGAAGTCGTCCGTGATTTTGCAGGAATCGATTGATACAAAATTGTTTGAACAATCTAAAAGTAAATGAACAGTTAGTCGTACTAACTGTTATTGGTGAACAATCATCAGCAAAATCGTCTTTACTTAATAGTTTATTTGGATGTAATTTTCGTGTCAGTGCTGGTCGTTGTACAATTGGAATGTATTTGAGTAAGTTTTTGATACACTTATAGCCAGTTTGTGTGAAATTTATGACCTTTTCTCTTCAGGTATTGCATATTATAAAAGTTTCACTATAATTATTATTGACTCAGAAGGTTTATTATCATTAGAAAAATCAGGTTCACTCTTTGATAATCAAATGATAACAATGGCTATTCTTACATCTCATCTTGTATTGATCAATGACAAAGGTGAACTTAGTTCTAGTCTTGAAGGACTCATTGGAATGAGTCTATATGCTAAACTACAAATACAGAGTTCACCACTCAAACCAAAATTTGTGAGTTTTCAATAATGATCTTATTTGCTATATCTTTCACTTCATTCAATATGCTTAATTCATATAGTGTTTTACATTCAAGTAAACCTTGTCCTAATTCATCGATTAGTTTCCAATTATTTGTCGACTTATTATAAAAATAATCGAAATATTTATAACNTACAGAGTTCACCACTCAAACCAAAATTAATATTTGTATTGCGTGATCAAATTTATCGCGATCCCAATGTCTTCTTTGAACTACTAAATAAATTTAAGAATAATTTGCAGACATCATCAAACTTTTTAAAAGTTAGCGTTGATGATGAACTTGAAATCAAACAAGAAAATATTGCATTATTACCAAGTGCTTTTAGCGAAGACATAAATACTGATTTAAATATAATACAACGATGGAGAAATCAAACATTTCCAATGGAGATAAATAATCTTCATATAGTGTTTTACAT